AAAAGTTATATTAAACTGTTCCAACTTCCAACACGCCCACTCCCACGAATTATTTCCTTGCTTAGAATGCATCATAAGAAAAGGTTGGAGTTTATTTGTCGAACTCAATAAGGGGATAATTGATTTTTTCATATTTAGTTTAATCAGTTTTGCTATGGAGCCATCGGATGGCTCGACTTATGGAGCCATGCACACTTATTAACCAATAGTATATTGACACGTGTCCTGCAATAAATACACTTTGGACAAGTGTCAATACATTAATTGGTGAATGGCTCCATAAAAAAACCATCCGATGGCTCCATAGAATTTTTGTTAGTTTAATTGTGTTTGATTGAATTAAATTTACATTTTAAAAAATGACTAATTTTATTCATTTGATTTAAATAAGATAACTATTATTATATTCTAATTTCATAATTTTACATCATTAAGCAAATATTCAATAGGATTGTCATCATTACAAGTAGTTGTTTAGAGCATGTTTGTTTACAAGAATTTAAAAAAAAAATCCTAACATTTTAATTCTATCACTTTTTTTAACTCAATTTTAACTCAACCCCACTATCATCAATATTATCAATATAATTAAATAATATCAATCAATTATTCATACACACCACATCAAACTTAATTCACTATTCATCCACTCACATTATTTTAACTAACCATCACTTCAAATCTATCTTTCCTACTTTTACATCAAATTAATTTTAATTATTTTATTTTAAATATTATTTTAATATACCCACTAACACCTAACCATACCACATTTTTCAAAATTAACCAAACCAAACCAAAAAATCCAAACAAAACAAAAAATTTCCATAAACAAACATGTTCTTCTCCATCATTAAAATTTTCCTACTCATTATCATGAGGAAAGTCAATTTGATTAAAAAGTTATCTCTATTACTGTTTCAATTTGACCTAATAACCAACTTGGGAAAAAAAATCAGAAAATATTCAAAATATCATAAGTACTTAGGGGGTGATTGTTTATCATCTCAACTAAAAAAAATCAATCAAAACTCAAATTTAACTCAACTTTAACTCAATTCCACTATCTCCAATATTACCAATATAATTAAATAATATCAATCAATCATTCTTACACATCAACTTTAATTCACTATTCTTCTACTCACATAATTTTAACTAACCATCACTATCAATCATTTTTTCCTACTTTTACATCATATCAACTTTAATTATTTTATTTTAATATATTCACAAACAACTAACACCACCACCTTTTTTTTTTTAAATTAACTATAATTAAAAAAATCAATTAAAATCTAGTTGAATTTATAAACAATGACCCTTTAATGATACCAATCTACTCGACTCCAAAGCTCTACTAAACTGTAGTAGTAGTTTATTTGGCTTCACGTGTTACATATAATCTAATGAACCAAACTCCACGAAAAAAAAAAAAATGAAAAACAACAACAATAGGTCAATAACAACTCATTTAACATTTCACTGGATTACTGCAAATTACCCTCCAATCTACTGCGGGTTAGGAAATCGACCGTTAGCAGCAGCAACACGCGAGCCCCATTCCAGCAACTCTATACTCGTATCATCCTTGTGAACAAAAACCTCTATGAAACACAACGAGTCCTTGTGCTCGCCCCTCGCCTTTTCTATGGCCTCCACCAGCTCATCCTCCGTTTTCACCTGATGTTCAGTAACAAATGCAATAGTAACATGTCAATTTTAAAAAAAAATTTCCCCTTAAAAACGAACTAATTTAGATTAGCGGCATGCATGTAAAAACCTTGGCAGTCCAGCAGTTGCCCTGCCCGTTATAGATAGCATCCACAAGAGCCGTGTAGTCCCAGTTTTTTATAACATTATAAGGGCCGTCGTGAATTTCGACCTCAATCGTGTACCCTCCATTGTTGATGAGGAATATTATGCTCTTCTGCCTGCACCGTATCATGGTGGATATGTCCTGAGCCGTAACCTGCGCATCATAATTACATGAAAATATGTACCCAGACTTTTTTTTTTTTTTCATTTTCTGGTGATTTTATACCAAATATTTCAAACCAAACCATGGTAATTAATGTGATTGCTTGCCTGAAAACTCCCATCACCAATACACGCGATAACGCGTTTATCTTTCGCGGCCTGTGCGTAACCGAGAGTTGCACCGACAGACCACCCAATGGATCCATACTGCATTTGGAACTCATACCTGAACAAAAATGTACCGGTATTTAATTTCAAAATTTCTAGTTACCGAGATTATTTTTTTCTGAACAAGGACAAACCCGCAATTCTCAGGTAAACGAAGCTTTTGACAATTGAACCACGAATCCCCTGTCTCTGCAATTACTGCAGTGTCCCCACTCAGCATTTCCTGTAATTCAACTCAATAAGTAAATGTCTGCTTGAAAAAGCTAATATTAGTTAAAAACTTAAAAATCAACAAGCTAAGTAACCTGAATGTGCTTGAAAAGAATGTTGACCCTAAGAGGCTCCTTCTCGACACGCCTCAGGGCCACGCCAGGTGGCACATAAATCCTACGGTAGTTCTCGACAGCTGTGCTGTTCCTCGTCAGCTTCTTCGCCAGGGCCGTGAGAAAGTCGGTCATGAAGACCCACCCAAACGATGGCCCGTGGCCAACCGTCACGCGGTTCGGCTGCACGACCACCGATTTCTCCTTCTTGATCAGCAGAGAGTACCCGACTGAGCTGTAGTCGTTAAAAATGGGGCCCACAAAAACGTATGCATCAGCCGACTCAACTATTTCCCCACAGAAACTCGTGCTCACGGCCCCCCAATAGGTCCCGATGAAGTGCGGGTGCTGCTCGGGAACGAGGCCCTTTCCTGATGGCATCACTGCTATTGGGTATCCGCAGGCGTCAGCCAGCTCGAGGAAGGCCCGTTGGGCCTTGGAGACGCGTATCTTGGGCCCGCCTATGATGACAGGCTTAACGGCTTTGTTAAGGAAGTCGGCTGCTGCCTCGACTGCGGCTTCCAGCCCGAGCTGGTTGCTGACCCTGCTCGGAGTTCATGAGTTGTTAAAGAATTTGAACGAAATTTACTGTTGTAATGAAGCTGAAAAAAAATTGGGGACTTACTTTGGTGCGAGAAGAAACGGCACGGGTTCCCTTGCGAAAGTTGGGTGAGGGATTGCTGGTAAATTGCAGCTAATGCTTATGTAAACCGGCTTGCTTTCCTTCAGAGCCGTTGAAATCGCTGTGTCGATCAACTCATGGGCATCATCCAAGTGATTCACAACGGCCTGGAGAAGAGAAAAATGAAAAATCCCCAATTATTAGCTTCAGAAACCCTAATTTTATCAATTACTGAATTCCGAAAATAGAAAGAAATAACCTGAGCGCAGGTGATCGTCTGGAAGCACCTGAGCTCCTGGGTGAAATCGGGTAGCCCGATTGTGTGGTGGAGGATCCGATTGGTGCCGTAGTCGTTGGAATTGGGTCCTCCGGCGATGCAGATCACGGGCAAGTTCTCGCTGTAAGCACCGGCGATGGCGTTCAGCACGCTGAGGCCGCCGACTGTGAAGGTGACCACGCAAGCCCCGACGCCGGTGGCGCGGGCGTAGCCGTCTGCGGCATACCCGGCGTTGAGCTCGTTGCAGCAGCCGATCAGGTTGAGGTCCGGCTCGGCGACGAGGTGGTCGAGCAGGGTGAGGTTGAAGTCCCCGGGCACGGAGAAGACGTCGCGCACGCCGATCTGGACCAGGCGACGCGCCAGGTGTCGGCCTAGCGTCCCGCTCGAGGTCGAGGAGACGACGGGGATCGTAGCCGGCTTAGCGGCGGCTTCGCTGTGAGTATCGGTAGCTGCTTCCATACTGTGTGTTTCAAAATGATGAATAAAAAGAACAATACACTTGTAGATTTTGTACTTTTTATTAGTGGCAAGAAAAGTAATTTGTGTCTGGAATAGAATAAAAGGGTAATGGTGGTGAAGTGTCTATTTATAGCGAACGATTTTTTCCTCTTTTTTTTTTTCTATTTTATTAAGTTTAGCTTTTGATAATAATGAGTAACTTTAAAAGACCATGGGCAGTGTTAAAAGACCATGAGTAACTTTGATTCTATTCTAAAAAGGAATAAATGTTTATTTGTCCTATAATTGACCTTTTCGAGTAAACAATGTCAAATGGTGCGAAATGTTTAAATATATAGGTATGGATTCAATTTATCACACAGTATTGTTAACTTTTGGAGTATATTTTTATTATGAATACTTTTAAATTTTAAATGTCATATTACAAAAAATAGCATAAACAAAATATGATATTTCATAAGATAAAATTTGCATTTTTATTTCAAATAATATGACAGGCAACTCGCCTACTGGTTAGCCGCATCAGATATCACTAATCAATGGCAATATACTATTATGTGACAAGCGGGAATTTGGAAAACCAGAGGCGATCTTAGCCATGGTATGTACCTATATTCGCGGTTTAGGATCAACAAATATTTGTTCAATAATGAGATGGGATCTAATAGATACAAGTGTTTGCCTGTATTTGAGTAGTGACCACCAATTGCTGGCCCTGGAAACTTTATACTTCCATTTACAGTTGTCTTGAGTGGAAAAGTATGAAACCACATGCCCAGGCCACCAATCTTGACTATAGGGTGACAACTCACAAAAATAGTTGAAAATTTGCTTCTTTGTTTACAAAAAAAAAATAAAAAAATAAAAAATTAATTTCAATTCAAAATATAACTCAATTTTAATTCAACTTCACTATCTTCAATATTATCAGTATAATTAAATAATATTAAACAATTATCCTTGCACATTACACTAAATTTAATTCGATATTCATCTATTCACATAATTTTATCTATCTATCACATTGATGCAGCGCATCCCACATCGGGTTTGAAGGGAAATGAAGCAGGCCTTATATGAGGGTGTGGATACCTTCACTAGTAAGATGCGTTTTGGTGGGTGTGTATTGAAGCCCAGTCAAGAACAAAGCCGTACGGGTGGCGGAAGTGTCCCAAAGCGGACAATATCTTACTAGGGTCTGCGCCACACATTCAATCATTTATCTCCTAATGTTACGTCAAATCAATTTATAAACTTAAAATTCCACTAAAAAACTAACGTATCAACTTTTTTAAAATTATAATATATCTATAAACAACCAAGCCACGTACTTAAATTTTGTAATTTTGATAGTTTTTAATTTTTTCAATAATAACCCATTAATCTCAAGAGGATTTTCATACCCAAAAAAAAAAAGTCCATTTTAAATCACAATGACTGCTGCCCAGCATGAAAAGCCAGTAAACCATCATCAGTCCCAATCCAAGTAAACCCAGTGCCCTTCGAAATCCCTCTTGCCTTCATCACCTCCCTCAATTGGCTCACATTCTCCCACCGCCCGGCATCCGCCAATGCATTCGACAACGCCACATAAGCACCAGGCCTACTTTTCCCGCTCACCTTAAAAAGCTCGTCTGCCGCTATCCTAGCAAGCTCCACGTCACCATGCAACCTGCAAGAACTCAACAATGCAGCCCAAACATCTGAATTGGGCTTCTCCGGCATCCCCACCACAAACTCTAGAGCCCGGTCCAAACTTCCGGCCCGGCCCAATAAATCCACCATGCACGCATAATGCTCCATCCTCGGCTTCATCCCGTAAAACCTTTCCATCCTCCCGAAAATCTCGTACCCTTTCGCAACTAAACCCGCATGAGCACACGCGGATAGTGCACCGAGAAAAGTTACGTAATTCGGCGTGATTTTATAATTTTTTACCATTTCGTCGAAGAGTTGTAATGCCTCGTCCGGGCTCCCGTTTTTACCGTACCCGTCTATCATTGAAGTCCACGAAAAAACGTTTCTAATCGGCATTCGGTCGAAAATCCGCCGCGCGTAGTCCGTGCGCGCGCATTTCGAGTACATGTCCACGAGCGCGCTCCCGATTTTCACGTCTGTGAAGAAATCGATTTTCATTATTCGCCCTTGGATTTGTCGGCCGACTTCGAAGGCCGACAAAAGAGAGCAAGCCCCGATAATGCTAGCAAACGTCGATATCGTTGGCTTAAAACCTAAACGTTGCATGTCGATGTAAGTCTCGACTGCATTTTTAGCGGTTTGGACCGATTTACTGTATCCTTCGATCATGGCATTGTAAACCACCACGTCTTTCTCGAAAGTTTTGTCGAACACGTCCTCCGCATCCCTCAAGCGGGCCCGGTTCATGTAGCCCGTGATCATTGAAGTCGAGCAAATCACGTTTCGTTCGAGCATTAAATCGAACACCTTCCGTGCGTACTCGATTCTCTCGCTCTTGACATAAGAATCGACAAGTGCAGTGTAGAGCACATCATCCGCCAATACGCCGGATTTTATTATCTGAGCGTGAACTTCGGTCCCTTTGCGATGATGACCTGGGCCTGCGGCCGTCGAGCCCTTCAAGATCATGGAGAAAGTGAATCCGTCGGGCTTTTCGTTCGAGAGGTATAGTTGCCTGACGAGGTCGAATGATTTTTCGACAGGCCCGTGTTTTGTGTAGCCCGAAATCATGTAGTTGTAGGCCGAAAGAGTTCGTCTGGGCAATTCGTCGAACACCTGGCGGGCGTAGAGCAAGTTGGAGGATTTGATGTAAAGAATGAGGAGCTTGATGGAGATATTGAGGTCGGGAGTGAACCCGGTTTTGAGGATGTGGGCATGGATCTTCTGGCCGGGAGACGAGTGATCGGAGTTAATGTAATTTTGCAGGGCCGACGCCGGAGAATATTCTGTTGGCCGGCGGCCCCGGTTGAGCTCTCTTGGAGGGAGATGATTGGTTAGGGGTCTCGCAAGAGATCGGAGACAGTTTAATTCACCATGACTCATTGTGTTCCCATCTGTGAAATGGGAAATTGATTGTTTCGATTGTTGATTTATTCAAGTTCAGGACTAACTCAGAATTTGATTTTCCTCTCTCTCTCTATGCTTGATATAAATAAAAAATGACGTCTTTTTATTAACTATTATTCTATTATGTACATTTGCAAAGATGTAAATTTAATTAAATATTATAAGTTATGTTTATATATATAATATAAAAATTATAAGGTATATAATTGTATTGTATTTCAAACATATAGTATTATAAGTTATATTTATGTATATAATATTAAAATTATAAATTATATAATCGTATTATATTTTAAAATTTGATTATTGGTTAAAATAAATAGTACACACGATTTGATTGTATACGAATCACTATATTGATTGCATAAAATGTAATAAATATATACTTTTTATAATTTTGAGTGATCGTGACCAATTAATTAGCTGAAAAATATTACATTTATTATAACAATTGCTTATGTGATTTTAAGAAAGTTTACTATGACATAAAAAAAATTAATTTATTAATGAACAACCGCTTCATCATATAAAAAAATATTGATTTTAGTATAAAATATAATTTTATGTAACTTTCATATATTATTTAGGTTCTATTTATGCCACATAAATGTATAAAATATAATTTTTAATGAGATTGGGTGTATTAATGCCACATAAATAAAATTTATTAGGTTCTATTTATTAGGTTTTATTAATGATTTTCTACATAGGTAAAATTTATTAGGTTTTATTTATTAGGTAAAATTTATTGCTTAGCTAGCAATTATATATATATATAGATATATCAGTTTTTTAATTATTATTTTTCTTAAAGCATAATTAATTTTGAAAATATTGGCATAATTAATTGTTAGATGAATTTAAGTTTTTATTAATATTTAAAATAAAATGATTAAAATTTATTTGATGTAAAAATAGGAAATAAATGATTGAAAGTTATAGATAGTTTGTTTTTTTCTAATTTATTAATTTTTTACTGGTATTTTTTTATTCATAGTTAATTTTGAAAAAGTTGATATATTAATTGTAAGTGAAATTTTATGTTTGTATTAAAATAATATTTAAAATAAAATAATATTTAAATAAAATGATTAAAATTCATTTAATATAAAAATATGAGATAGATGATTGAAAATGATAAGTAGTTAAAATTATTTGAGTGAATAAATAGTGAAGTAAAGTTGGTGTAATGTGTAAAAATGATTTATTGATATTATTTAATTATATTGGTAATATTGAAAATTGTTGAGCTGAGTTAAAACTAAGTTAGATTTTGAGTATAAATTAAGTATGAATGAATATTTTTATAAACAAACACGCTCTTGATTCCTAATGTTATCAATTAAAGAACACCAAGATACGCCATAATATTTAAAATAACACAAATTATGTTAGTTAGGTATCTATTATAGTCGATAGTATTTTCTCATCAGAAAATTACGCTATTTATTCTTATTTATACTCTATCTTAAATTATGATATTTAAGTATAGTTGTGTATCTTAAATTAGGTCTGATTGGACCAATTAAACCAGTCGTTGATCGATTTTTGACAGGTTCGCACACAACCGGTTCCAATGAACCAAACCGGTCAACTGACTAGTTCTCGAACCATTTGGGACAATCCAATTGTCTAAACCATGAATAATATCAAAAAAACTATATGTATGTAAAGCGTAATAATGTTTGTCTTAAAGTGAAACCTAGTGGCCTTTTATATACTAAGGGTGTCTTTCTCTCAAGTAGAGTCCATACCAGGAAATAATTAAAATCATATCTACTTTCATATCTTAACACGTCTCTAAATTCTCAAACTCCTTAACGAGATACACTTATCATCCTTAGTTAGATTCTATCTCCTCTTACCATGGCTTTTTGGCTCATTAGATTGTTCCAACGACCTCACGACTCTCCTACCAGTGATGCATAGCTGATCAAAACTAAGACCTTTATCTAGGGTGAGCAAAACTGAGATGAAACCGAAAAACCGACCGAACTGATGTATTCGGTGCGATTCGGTTTTTCCTCCGAATGATGCGGTTTTAACCAAACCGCACCGAATATGTTTTTTTTTTTTTATTTTATTTTTATTTTTATTTTTTTTAAATTTTTACAAATATGAAATATGTTAACATGTTTGTATTGTACATAGACATGCTCATTTTGGACTTTTGGTTTGGGATGGCTGACATTAACAATAAATAAATAAAGTAATAAATAATAACAATTAAAAATTAAAAATTAATATTAAAATCTAATTTCTTGCCTTCGTTTTTCACTTTCAGTTCAAATCTTGAGCTTTGGTTTGGTAATGTTGCACATTAGATGATGATGATGTAGCTTCATTTTATTTTGACCTTTTTTTAAAAAAAAAAAATTTGCGGTTAACCGAAACCCCATCGCACCGAACCAAAAAATTTGGGATTTCGGTTCGGTTTTTCAACATATTTCGGTGCGGTTCGGTTTGGGTAAATAAAAAATTTCGGTTTTCGGTTCTATCCTAGCTCCTAAAGGAGCTCAACCCCTAAGTCTTCTAACCAAGTTGACCTGTATCGGGATCTACTTAAGCAAGTTCTCCAACAAAGTACAACACTGATATCGATTTGAAACTCCTTTAAATCAACCGTACTCGAGCTAACCACTCAAATCGATTCATGGAATTATTGTGGGTGCTATATCACACTTATCACCACTTGTACTCAATTTTTAAGTACTTTAAAACAATTTACCGTCCAAACACTTTCCTCTTTCAAGAACAGATTTGAGATTGAGCTTAGCATAAAAAAAATAGCCCAAAAAAAAAGTCGTTCCACTATCCTTATTAGTAAGCCAGAATTTGAGCATAAAAATCTCATTCCACAATCCATTAAGCATCTTGATCTACTATGGCAATCGTACATAGTGAAAAATCCATAATCAAACAAGACACAGCCCTATCTGAAATGCTTCATCAAAGTCTCAGAAACTGGACGCGAGTTCCTTAAATAATTCGAGTTACGGGCCTTTTTCCGTCGATTGCCCAACTGATGAGCCAAACGGGCCAGCAGCAAAAGGGAAGACGTGTCAGGTTCCGATTGGCTGTCCTCCGATGAAGGCCCAAATTCTGGGTGGAGCAAATTCGTGATATCCTCAAGCGGCGTCCTCGATTTTCTCTTCTTACTGGATGTAACCGCAGGATTAGCTACCGTAGGTTGTACCGATGGCAAATTAATCGGGATGTTCTCCTTGTCGAGGAGAGAGAAGATCGCCATTGATATGGATGGAGAGAGAGAGAGAGAGAGAGAGAGAGGTTATGAGAAAGGAAATGGAGGCGAGGTATATGTAGTGAGGGGAAAATGGAGGTGGGAAATGATTTTTCACCATTTTTCGGGGGATGGATTTTGGATTTGAGAGGGATGATTGAGTTGGGAAAATGGAGGTGGGAATTTTTTGTGCAGTTTGAAAGATTTATTTTTTAACCATTTGATTGGGGTTTGGTGGGTTGGGAGGGAGAACAAAAATGTACAAAAATTTGTGAGAGGCGCTTAATCTGTTTTCAAGGCTACCGCGCCTTTACAGTCAACGGTGTTTATGAGTAGTAAAAATAGTTATTTTCACCCCGTTTTGAAGTCTTCTTAAATTTTTTACACCACCCAATAAAAAGCTAAGTTTCTCTCCCCAAAAAGTACAAAAACATATGCGATGAACTATGCAATAGATAGACGACTGGTATGAGCATGAGCGAGAAAATTATGAGTTAAAGTATGTGACTGTTCTGCAACGAGTATGCGGAAATTCGATGTACGATTCGGTCAATCGTGGTCCGTCGCCCATTAATTAATTATTCTTGTTAGGCGAATGAATCTGCGACTATTAGTCGAAAAAATTATTCTACGAGACACGAACGTCGAATATTATTCGCAGAGTTGGTGCATTATAAGGTTTTTTCGTAGAATATTTTTTATTTCTTTCATCTTTCAGTTGTGCGAATTGCCGCATATTGCTCGCACTTCTACTCGAAAGTTATTTTTTATTTTTTTCAGTTATTTCAGTTATGCGAGGGGATATGCGTATTGCCGCATATTTCTCGCATATCCCCTTCGCACTTCTACTCGAAAGTTTAATTTTTATTTCTTTCACCTTTCAGTTATTTCAGTTATGAGATGAGGTATGCGAATTGCCGCATATTTCTCGCATACCCCACTTCGCACTTCTACTCGAAAGTTTATTTTTTATTCTTTTTTATTCCTTTCACCTTTCAATTATTTCAGTTATGCGATGGGGTATACGAATTGCCTCATATTGCTCGCATACCCCCCTTTGCACTTCTACTCGAAAGTTTATTTTTTATCTCTTTTATCTTTCATCTTTTAATTTAGTTTAATTATTTTCTTTCAAATATGAGAAATGCCACATACATACAACAAACAACAAAAATATAATAAAATGATATATTACATGAGTAATTATAGAACTGGGCGATAATAATTGTTTGTGGTTCTGTACTAAACTGAAAAATTTGTCGAGCAATTTTGCGCCTCATGTCCGTAGCCCATTGCTGGTTAGACTTGTCTAAGGGCTTGCTCCCCATTAGCAAAGCTCGTACCATCTCCACAACGCATACACCACAAGAAATTTTATCATGTTGCAAGATAGTATTTTTGAGGTTCATGATTTTCAAATCGAACTTTTTGCTCACCCTCTCTACTCCCGCATACGTCGCAATCAGTGAAATTAGATTTTGGACTTTTTTGAATGCTTTGACGCGGGATTCGCCAATGTGCTTGTCCGCCTTTTTTGATACGTATGCCGTAGGGGGTCATACACACACGTATCGTCCCCTTGAGTAAAAGGATCTGGAAAGCTACGTAGTGCTGCGACAAATTCGCAACTCCAATAATCTGTTGCATTGAGTTGTGAGAAATTCACTAATTTTTTAGGAAAGATTGCAATATTAATTGATTCGGAATTATTGAAAACTTACAGATGTAATATCCCTCCAAGTAGACGGATTCCCCCAATCGCTGACCCACCCCCTCATTCACATAGCGAATCAAAGATTGGAGGTTGTCCGAGTCCGCTAGCTCCTTTTTAGCATGGACCTCCTTCTCCAATTCCCCCAGAATCCACTATATAAAATACAACAAAATAATAAATAATAACGTAATTAATATAATTATTAATAAAAATGAAATGACAAGGAAAAGAGAAAAGATTAAAATAATCTCACAAAAAACGTAGTCGGCACGATGGTATAAGTGCCCAACATGTTGTCTTATGGCTGGAACCCCAAAAATAGTGGATTGCTTTGCATAATCCCCAAGTAGACGTGCAGTCTACTTGGGTAATGCATGTTATTGTTCCCCTAATCAATAATCTCTCATGATTATACAGTCTTACACATTTGCACATTTGGGTAATGCATATTATTGTTTAGTTTCTATTTTTTTTTTTCTTTTTTGGCCATATAGTTTTATATTACAAATACAAAACATATTCAGAGAATGAATGCCTGAAGCCCACACCGAATGTCGAATTTAAAAACTATGGTCAATATTTACTATAATACTAATATAAATATGATAACAATGTATAATATATATATACGATGTAGTTCAAATGAGAACCAAGTCTTAGTGTGAGAACTGTGAGAACCGCTATTTTTATTTGGGCGTAGTGCTATGATTGATTGTGTTTGATGCTATTTTTAACTTGAATGAATTTTATTAAAAATAGTAACACAATTTCTGGTAGCACTTGTAAAAATGATAGCATCATCTTATATGAAAAATAACATCATACACAACTAAAAGCATAAAAAATGGTTCCCACACCAGGATAAGTTTTTATTTGAACCAACTCCTATATATAATATTTTGTACAAACTAATCAAATGAGACAAACGGGACGGTTAGTGACAAAAATATTCAATACCGATACCGATATTGTTCAAAATGGTTCGGTACCGACAACGGTGCGAAAATAAAGAAAACTTTTTGAAACCGTCGTTTCAGTCCATTTTGGTATCTTAAAATTAGGTTTTTTCTGTCCACCCCTAATTACAAGAGAATAGACCATCATAGTTATTGATATTTTGTAGCTTGGCAGCCTATGTATTTCCATTATTAAGATAAATAATAAAGTTGCACAAAATTTCATATATTGGTCCCGTAGCTCAGTCGGTTAGAGCGTTGGTCTTATGAGCCGAAGGTCGCGGGTTCGAGCCCCGCCGGGACCAATTTGTTATTTCTTTCATTTTTAATATTTTCGGAACCGCATTCAGTTGCGGTTTGCCTGTGTCTATTTCATCGTTGAGCAAAGACATGAAAAAGTATTTGAAACACGCCTTTTAGGTGTTAATAGATATCCAAGTTACAGGTGTTCCCGGCGGTTGTACTGAAACTAAACGGCCACTAAACTAATCAGTCACTCCTTATGAAGCACGCATTGTTCATTTCATTAATTTAAGCACGCATTGTTCATTTCATTAATTTACAGCAGCTCCAAGCACAAGCTCCCACCTTTCAGAAGAGCCTCCCTCATCTTCCTTTATAACACCCCTCTTCTCTTCATCGGCGACGCCGTTTTTTTCATCTCCCTCAGGTGGGCTTTGCGGAGACCGCAACTCTAGTGGCCCAACAGCCCGTTAACCGGTTCAGGCCCAAACGAGCAGCTGTCCTCGTTTGCCTTTTCGAAGGGGATGATGGGGGGATTGGGCTTATTCTCACCAAGAGATCGTCACGGCTTTCTACTCATTCTGGTTTGCTTAATTGCATTTTGTTCAATTCTTATCTTAGTAATGATAATCATAATCCCTAATTTTTTTATTTTTTTATTTTTTATTTTTTCTCGAGCAAAAGGATTTTTGGTTTTGTGCGATCTTGGATAAGTTAATTGGAGATTGGAATGAATCAATTTTCAATTTGATTCAAGCTGTTGTGGGATTTAGGGATCATGTCTGTGTTAAAATTTTTTGAAATTGAGAGATGCTTTTAGAAATGTTGGAAATTTAGTATATTCCTCACCCAAGTTTCATAGTTTAGCGGCATTAATATTAGGTGTGATTAAATAATTTATTTGAAGACAGGTGAAGTTACTTTGCCCGGAGGGAAAATGGAGGAAACAGATTCAAATGATGTCGAAACAGCAATGAGAGAAGCAAAAGAGGAGATAGGGTTGGACCCTTCATTTGTGAATATTATTGTAGCTTGTCTTGAACCTTTCTTGTCAATGTTATGAAAGTTTCACCTTTCTTGGGAGATGTTAATGCTGCGTTTTCTTTCTGTTGGAATTTAGGCACCCATGAGTCCAGAATTTCAAACAAAATTTGATTTTTTTATGATGTACACGTAAATAAAAAAATAATCAGAAAAGCAAAACACGAAAAAGAACTTGTTTAAAACGTATTTAACACTGTCGATGCATATATGATAATTTGGATAGGTCAAGTTGTACTTCAAAAGCTTAATGGTGACCTTTTTTTTATCTCTTTGCCGGGATAGTTGATGTTGTTCTGCTCTCAATCTATGATGTGAATCTTTCCAAGTATGAATATTTGATGCTCAATCCAATTGTTTTGAGGTATGTGAGACCTTGTTTATTGAAAATTAGAGTAGTTTACAGATTATAAAAGTTTAAGGAAACAATTGGAGGAGTATTTGGTATCCGGCAAACAGAATTTACGATGTACGCATTTGTAAGGTTTCCGTANCTCCATGTGTAGGCTTTTTGGTCTAGGCATTAACTTTCAGTTTTCTACTTTTTATATATGCTTTGATTGAATGGCAGATAGGTATGCCTAACCAATAGCCATCTAGCCAAGACAGATTATTGAAACTCCATGTGATGAAGAAGTTTGAACTTTGAATCTTAAAGGCAGACATCATGTATTCCAACATTAGTTCATTGAGATCAGAAAACCTAGTGAAAGTGGCCCAAAGGCTCCGCTTGTACAAAGCCAGTCAGAATCTCACCATTCCCAATGGTATTGTTCTTGAAGATTCGAAAATCAGAGATTCCCTCTTTAAAGTGGGTCCTTACAGAGCTGCTGTCTTGATTTGCTTGTTTGAAGGGGAAAGAGGGGACCTTCGCGTAATTCTCACCAGAAGATCTTTAAACATGTCCTCTCATTCAGGTAACATGATTACATTTTATTTTGTTTCCATTTGATGGAATAAGAAAAAGATAGTCATGTTATTTTTTTATTTTTTATTTTTTAGGTGAAGTTGTATTGCCTGGAGGAAAGTGGGAAGAGGGTGATCACAATGATTGCGAGACGGCTTTGAGAGAGGCTAATGAAGAGATTGGATTGGAACCTTCTGCCGTTGAAGTTGTTACTATTCTCGAACCTTTTTACTCTGCGGTGATGGGATTTTCGGTTTCTTACCTATTTTACTCCTCTTTATTTTTATTTTCCACATTCGCAATTTGCATCTTGACGATGATTTCAAAATGTGCTGATTTAGAACCCATTCTGTTTCTCTTTCCAGCGCCGTATAACTATATTCCCAGTTATTGCAATAATGTGGGACAAAACTGGTTTCAAGCCAAATCCAAATCCAACCGAGGTAGAATCAGTTTTTGATGCTCCATTAGAAATGTTTCTCAAGGTTCGTCCTTTTGTTCCAAGAGTTAATACTATTCTGCTTAAATCACTTGCGATATTTGTTAGCTGCTCATCAACGTACTATTTTATACGTACTTGTGTTTAGAATGAAAATCGACGAGAAGAAATGGTGGACTGGATGGGCTATAAATACTTGATCCATTCTTTTGATTACAGAGCGTGTAATAATAAGTCGTACGTAATTTCGGCTTTGACTGCTGCAATTTTGATTCGGGCTTCATCGGTTGTGTATCAACGGGCCCCCGATTTTCACGAGGGTATGATTGTATTCCAGCCTAGAAGTCGCCACTGAATGTGTTAGTTTCTTCATAATATATAAATACGAGAAGCAACTCGAGCAATATAGTGTGTAAATCTCAAGATCCAGTGGATAGTCAGTTAATTCAATATGGTGTTTTCTCAATACTCTAATGTTGTATGATGTTGTTGTACATACATGAACTTGGAGTGATTTACTTTGAATATTCTAACTACTCGCTCTAAAAAATAAAGTCAGTAAATCAATTCAAGTACTCAAAGTTTTCGCTCTCAAAGGAAATCAATAAATCAGTTCCTTGGTGCATTTGAGATCAACATCAATTCTAAATTATTGGGTTTTTAGTTGAAAAAAATCTAATAAAATAAAATTGTTGTCTATGATATTTAGTTGTCTTAATAGTTATGCGAATTATAACCGTGTTAAGCGGTTCGTGACCAGCTGATGGTATGTGTGATTGATAAAATAGTTTCTCAATTTTAGCCTTTTGTATGACTGATAAAATAGTTTCTCAATTTTAGTTTGTCAACATTTACCAAAAATTATATGGATAAAATAGTTTCTCAATTTTTAGTCTGTAAAGTTCTTGTTCTCGGCGGTTTCTTAGTTGTCATTTCAAATTTTTTTTTGGGAAATTGCTCCATATCTCTCGTGTTATTCTCAATACTCTACGGTTTTGCTATGAAGCCAAATATATGGAATAACGTATAATGTGAGAGATATAGAAAAGGACATTAGACAACATACTCTTCTCACAAATGTATATACTTTCATTAAAAAAATAATATGACGGATTAACTCGTATAATGTTTAGATTGGCCCACAAAATTGTTAGGTAAAAAGACTCTTTCAAATGCTATAAAACGCCCAATGCATGCCCTCTCCAATAATGCATCAGTTCTGAATCCCAGTCTCCTACATTAATTACAAATACTCTAAGCCTTTTCTTTTGACTCAACCAAAAACACAGAGAAAGAAAATAGAAATTACAAAGAACCAAGAAGCTGCTTTAAGTGGCAGAGAATAAAATCGACTGGCCAAAATGAGCTATATCGGTGGATACAAGCAAACATCTAACAATGTGCGCTAATCATAAATATTGGAACACTCTGCGAATTATGAGCAATGACGAGCATTGAACCACTGTGTCTTCCTGACTAGTCAGAAAAACACGGTGTTGACTGCTTTTATATAAAATGTTCGTACGTACAGATATGAGGAAGAAGGTGTATTTATACAAGTGCCCATGCACTCTCATCAAAACGACGTCGCATAGGTCTTAAGATTTTAATCCCACAGCTAAGATAGAACAATACCGTATTGCTTAAAGAAAATATCAAACTAAGAACATAGTTTTATACTAAAACAAAAGAACAACTTCGACTTCTATCCACAGCTCAATTTGATCTCTATTCCAACAGCCCCCCCTCAAGGTGAGCATGATCGAAACATGCTCAACTTGGACAAGAGAAAAGAAGCTTGCTTGGTTGGAAGAATCTTCGTAAAAACATCGGCCAGCTACAGTTTAGAGGAAATGTGCAGAGGCAGCACAAAGCCATCCTTATATTTATCACGTACAAAGTGACAATCGATTTCAAGGTGCTTAGTTCTTTCATGGAAAACTTGGTTAGCCGAGATATGCAGTGCCGCTTTGTTGTCACACCAGAGAGGAATAGGAAGATCAATATATATCCCAAAATCCTTGAGTATAAAATTGATCCAAACCAACCCCGAAACGGTGCTGCTCATTTGCTGTTTCTTCGTCTTCCAAGACACAAGAGATCCACCAAGAAAGACACAATAACCAGTTACTGAGCGACGAGTGTCTTTGCAAGAAGCCCAATCGGCATTAGAATATGCGTGCAGATTAAGAGAGCCTGTGGAGGGAAAAAAACAGGCCATGAGAAGATATGCCTCTGAGGTATTTCAAAATGTGCATAGCTGCTTCCCAGTGAGTTGTACATGGAGAATTAACAAATTGACTGATTTGTTGCACAACATATGTAAGATCCGGTCTAGTAAGATTGAGATACAAGAGTCTGCCAACAACCCTTCTCTATTGATCAGGATTATCCAATGGTGCACCATCTTCAGTTAACAATTTTAAACCACAAGGTAAAGAGGTAAGTGTTGCCTTGCAATCTAACATACTTATATCTCCCAAAAGATCAAGAATATATTTTCTTTGGCAAAGGACAGTGCCTTAAGATGTTTTGAAAACCTCAACTCCCAAAAAATATTTGGCAGTCCCCATATCTTTAATAGTGTATTCATGATGTAGGAAATTCTTAAGTTCAAGTAAAAAGCTTTCTGAGTTACTTGTAAGAAGAACATCATCAACATAAACTAGGATAGCCATAAAATCAGTACCTCTATGCATAGTGAACAAGCAGTTATCATGAGTGGACTGAGACATCCCAAATATAGTCAACTTGGTACTTAACTCCTTGTTCCATTCTCGAGAAGCTCCATAGAGGCTTCTTTTAAGCTTGCACACTTCACCATGTTGTCCCTTTTTATATCTAAGAGGTGGCTGCACGTACACTTCTTCTGTAAGTGTCCCATGAAGAAATGCATTATTCACATCAATTTGATGAATGGCCCATTTGTTTAGTGTGGCAATGGAGATGAATAACTTTACAGTAACAAGCTTTGCCACAGGGGGAAAAATATCAAAGAAATCTACTCCCTCTTGTTGAGTATATCCCTTAGCCACCAATCTTACTTTAAACCTCTCAACTATGCCATCTGAATTCCTCTTTATTTTGTATATCCATTTGGAACCTATAGCTCTTTTGCCAGCAGGTAAGGTGGTCATCTCCCAAGTGTTGTTTTTTTTCAAAGCCTCAAGTTCCTTTTCCATTGCAGCTACCCAAGCATGATGCTTCTTTGCTTCACCATAATGAGTAGGCTCTTTATCTACCAAGATGTTAGACATAAAGGCTGGATAACTGATTTTCCCAGTTGTAATGTTGCTCACTGATCCACAAACATAATCCTCTTGCCATATGAGTGGTCTTGAAGTTCTGTGACTTCTTTTAGACTCCAGATCAGTCACTTTAGTCCTTTCTTGCTCTGCACTAATCTGAGGTTGTGTGTCTACTTCAGTGTTGAAATTAGGTTGTGTGACTGTTTCAGTATTCAAATAAGGTTGTGTGTCTTCTTCATCATTCAAATCAGTTGCACTGTGAGATAATGTAGTTACTTCTGAGCTGTGATGATTTAAAAAAGGAAAGGTATCTTCCAAAAACACCACATCCCTGCTAATGAGAAGTTTGTCAGCCTCCATATCATATAGCTGATAGCCTTTTTTACCTGTAGCATAGCCTAAGAATAAGCACTTGCTTACTCTAGCATCAAGTTTGGATTTCATAGGATGAATGTTGGCTGCATATACAAGACATCCAAACGTCTTCATCTCTTGTAATCAGGAACATCTCCATAGAGCCTCTCATAAGGTGTCTTCCATTCAAGTAATTGAGAAGGAACCCTATTAATTATGTAAGCTGCTGTGAGAATTGAGACAGGCCAGAATTTTAGTGGAAGATTTGCTTGAAATAGAAGTGCTCTTCCCACTTCCAACAAGTGCATGTGCTTCCTTTCAACAATGCCATTCTGTTGAGGTGAATATGCACAGCTGGTTTCATGTAACATTCCCTTTGAATCAAGAAAGGCCTGCAGTTCTCTATCAATAAACTCTCTTCCATTATCAGTTCTTATTCTTCTCACATTTGCTTGAAATTGTGTTTTAATCATGATGATGAAACTTCTGATTAGTTTTGCAGCTTGGACTTTGTGCAGCATGAGGTAAACCCATGTTCCTCTACTATAGTCATCCACTATGGCCAGGAAGTATGGGGTATGAGTTAGTGAATCCTCCTTACATGGTCCCCATATGTCCACATGAATGAGTTCAAAACAGCTTTGAGTTTGAATGCTACTTCTTGGAAATGATAACATATGTTGTTTTGACTTAAAACAAATGTCACAGGAATGTAACAACTTCTCAATTTCACTGGTGCATTGAGATTTCAAGAAGCCAACATGTTTCAAGGCAGAATGAGAGGCATGTCCTAGACAGTGTTTTAAATACCGTACCGGTGGTTATACCGGTCTAGCCACCGGTACGCGGTATTACCGGACTAACAAATATAATAATATATAGAAATATACATAAAAACATATAATACCAAATGCAAAAAAGTAAAAAAATAAATGACTATAATCATTAATTTCAACTACTCAATGAGATAAAAATAAAATATTTAACTACCAATTTAAATTTTATATTTTTAAATTAATAAATTTTATTTTTTTTTATTTTTTATTATTTACCGGTATTTTGGACCGGTATTTACGGTATGATTCCAGTATAAATCGGTATAACCATAAATCCGGTATTTTGAGTGTATTTGTACCGTACCAATGGTCGGTATCCGGTATTACCAGCCGGTACGGTACGATATTTAAATCATTGGTCCTAGACATTTGTGCCAAAGCTCCACTGAAAGGCTATTATATATTGTCTCATTTTCTTTAGCCTTATTCTTAGCAAATATATACAGATTTCCCAAAAGTTTTCCATATCCATAGGTTCTCCCAGTTTCTTTATCTTCAAGATAGCAATCTGTGCCACTGAAGATCCATCTTAACCTTCTTCCATTACACATTTGCATAACAGAGAGAAGATTATACCTGAAGGTAGGGACCAATAACACTTCCTTCAACACTACATTATCATCCAGTTCTACTTCTCCTTTATAGTAAACAGTTTTAAGAGGACCATCTGGAAGGCATATTGTCACAGGTGATTTGAGAATTTCCACATTTTTCATTTCATTTTTGTCTTTGCATATGTGTTTACTAGCCCCTGTGTCAATAATCCAATCTTTCTTTTGATTCATGCTTAAAGCTGACAAGGCATAATGGACATTATCCTCACCATCTCTATCAGCAAAGCTAACAAGCTGGGCATAGTCTATCTTTCTTTCTATTTCCTCTTTGCATTTTATGTATTTAGTAAGTTCATTCAACTGGAGAATGACTGAATTCAAGTCATGTCCCCTTCCTTCATCACTTACATCTCCCCTTTGCTTCCCTTTATCCACATATCCTTGTACATCAGTTGCATTAGCATATGCTTTTCCTTGCTGCTCCCTTAACTCTTTGAACCAGTCTGGCACACCATGAATTTTGAAGCAGGTGGTTGTGTCGTGACCAGTCATTCCACATTTTTCACA